TACAATTATAGTTTTTCACACCAGAGAAACTTTCAGTATTTACACATTTGTAACATATTTATTTCACTTAAGAGTATAACCTCAATATGCATCCATTGTCCTATGAATGACTAATTTCTCATTCATTATGGCTGAGTAATATTTCATTTTATAGAAAAACCACATCTTCTTTATCCAGTATCCAACTGATGGGCAAATGGGCTGTTTCCAAGTTTTAGCTATTACAAACTGTACTGCTATAAACATGGATGTGCATATATCACTGTGGTATGATTCTTTTAATTCTTTTGGAAAGATATCCAGCAAAGGGATGGCTTGGTCATATGGAACCTCTAATCCTAGTTCTTTGAGGTTATCTCCATATTGGTTTCCATAGTGATGGCACCAGTCTGCACTCCCACCAACAATGGAGAAGGGTTTGCCGGTGGAATTTATTAAAGAGATATTTTTCTCCACATGTTCTTGATGCTCTGTGAAAATCAGTTGGCTGTATGAACAGAGATTGATTTCTATATTCTCTGCTCTCTTTCATAGGTCTATAAGCTTGCTTCATGCCATGCTGTTTTAGTTACAATGACTTTGTAGCATGTTTTGAAGTAAGATATTATAATGTCTCCAGCAATGTTGTTGTGTGTCACCTCTACCCCAAACCCACCCAGGATTACTTTGACTATTTTTGGTCTTTTGTGGCTTTGTATCAATTTTAAGATTGGCTTTTCTATGAAGAAAGTCAACAGCATTTTGATGAGAATTGCATTGAATCAATATATCTTTGGGTATGTGGTCATTTTAGCAATGTTAATTCTTCTAACCCATGAATATCTTGGCATTTTGTATATGTCCTCTATAATTTTTTCACCAGTGCTTTATAATTTTCTTATTGCAAATATCTCTTGCTTCCATGAGGAAATTTACTTCTACAAATTTTTGTAGCTATTGTGAATGGGATTACATTCTTAATTTTTTTCAGCAACTTAATCACGGGTGTGTAAAAATGTTACTTTTCTGTATGTTGATTTTGTATCTGCTAACATTACTGAATTTGTTTATAAATCTTAAAAGCTTTTTGATGGAGTGTTTTGTGTAAAAAATCATGTCATCTGCAAACATGGATTGTTTAACTTCGTTTCTAATTCCAACACACTTTGCTTCTCTCCCTTGCCAAAGTACTCTTGCTTCGACTTCCAGTACTGTATTAAGAATGACAAAAATAGACATTCTTGTCTTGTTCCCAGTATTACAGGAAATGCTTTCAGCTTTCCTCATTAATATGATAGTGGCTGCAGGTTTTTTATCAGTAGCCTTTAGGATCTTGAGATATGTGCCTTCTATACCTAATTTTGGAGAGATTTTTATCATGGAGGGATGTTAAATCTTAATGTGTTTTCTGTATCTCTTGAGTGATCTTGTGGTTTTGGTCCTTCATTTTAATGATGTGCTGTATCATGTTTATTGACTTTGGTATGTTGAACTATTTTTGTATCTCTGGGATGAATCCCCCTTGATTGTGCTGTATAATCTTTCTTATATACTGCTGAATTTGGTTTGCTAGTATTTTGAGAATTTTCGCATCTGTTTTCATCAGGGATATAGATCTACTCTTTTTGTGTTGTTGTTATCTGGTTTTGTTAGCACGGTAATGTTGGCCTCATAAGTTGGCAAAATTCCATTTCAATTTTTGGAAAAGTCTAAGAAGACTTGGAACAAGTTCTTTAAATATTTTGTTGAATTTAGCAGTAAAACCAGAATACTTTTTAGATGGGAGAATTACTGCTTTAATCACATTACTTCTTATTGGTCTGTTTAAGTTTTGTTTTATTCGTGATTCAATTTTGGCCAGTTATGTGTGTTCATAAATCTATTTTTTCTAGGTTTTCCAGTTTAGCATAAAACTGTTCATAGTAATTTCTTGTGAGCCTTTTTATTTCTGTGGCATCATTTGTAATATCTCCTTTTTCATCTCTCATATTATTGTCATCTTTTTTTTCCCCTTGGTTAATCTAGTTAAAGACTTCTCAATTGTTTACCTTTCAAAAAAAAAATCCTCTGTTTCGTTCATTTTTTGTACTATTTTATAACTTTGATTTAGTCATGTTCTGATATTTTATTTTTCCTTCCACTAATTCGGGGTTTGGTTTATTCTCGCTTTTCTAGGTTTTTGAAGTACATTGTTACATTGTATATCTAAATTGGTTTTTTGTTTGTTTGTTGTTTGTTTGTTTTGGTACTGCGGAGGCAGCAGAAACATTGAGCTAAATCCTCAGCCCTGAGAGTTGTTTTGCTTTTCCTTATTTTTGTTTTGGATAGGCATTTACTGCTATCCTGTAAACTTTCCTGTCATTACTGCTTCTGCTATACGCCACAGATTTTGGTACATTGCATTGTCATTTTCATTTGTTTCCAGAGGTTTTTTATTTCCTTTTTAATCTCTTCACTTACCTACCTGTTGGTCATTTGGGAGGACGTTATTTAATGTTCACATATTTATGTACTTCTCATTCTTATTGATTTGTACTTTTATTCTGTTGTGGTATGAATACCTGATATTATTTTCTGTTTTTTAAACATTGAGACTTGATTTGCAGCCTAACATATCATCTATCCTGGAGAATACTCCATGTACTGATGAGAAGAATGAGTACTGTGCTGCCATTGAATGAAATGTTCTACATCTGTGAGGTCCATTTGTTCTATATTTATGGTTCAACTCAGATTTATATTTTTTTGTTGGTTTTCTGTCTGAATGATATGTCCATTGAGGGAAAGGGAGTGTTGGAGTCCTCAACTAATTATCATTAGTGTCTTTCACTTTATATCTAATAATATTTGATCTATATATTTAAGTGGTTTTGCATTGGGTGCATATAGATTTGCAATTGTTATATCTTGCTAAATTTAATGACCTCCCCCCTTTGCCTTTTACAGGGTTTGATGTGAAGTCTGCTTTATCAGATAGGAGTGTTGCTACTCCCAGTAATTTATATATCCTTTTCCAGTTCTTCACTAGAAGTCTCTATGTATATCTTTACTGGAAAAGTGAGTTCATAGGCAGCATATTTCATATGTACTATATATAATATAGTTTCTTTACTCATTCAGCCTAATCCTTTTGATTCACACATTTAATCCATTTACATTCAAAGTTATAGATGGGTATGCACGTCCTCCTGTCATTTTGTTAATTGTATTCTGCTTATTTTGTATGTTTTTTGTTCTTTTTTACCTCTCTTATTTCCTGGCTTGGTAGTTTTCTATCCCGAGGTTTGATACTCTTCTCTTTTGTAGCTATGTTCTTCCAGTGTGTTTTGTATATTCATGTATTTTCATAATAGTAGGTTTTTTTTAAAAAAAAACTGTAACATTGCCGTAAGTATTTATTGTAGGACTGGCTGGATGGTGAAGAATTCCCTCCATTTCTGCTTATCTGGGGAAGAGTTACTTCTCCTTCATTTCTGAAGAACAGTTTTGTTGGGCATAGTTTTCTTGGTTTGCAGGTGTTTTTGTTCAGTTCTAGTTTTTCCCTGTATTCTGCACCTATCCTCCAATTCTCTTCTGGTCTTTAAGTTTCTGCTGAGAATTCTGCTGCAGGGCTAATGGCATTCCCTTATAAGTATGTAACTTGATGGTTTTTCTTGTTATGTTTGAGGATTTCACCTTTTTCATTGTACTTCGACATTTTTTATTGCAATATTCCTTGGTGAAAGTCTGTCTGGGTTGAATCTAGGTGAGATCCTTTGAGCTGCTTGTATCTGGATGTCTTTCTCTGGTTGCTCCTCCTCCCGCTCCTGTCCTTCCTCCTCCTCCTCCTCCTCCCCCTCCTCCTTCTTCTCTGACTAGTTAACTCAAAAGACCTGTCCTCAAGTTTAGAAATTCTTCTTTCTGCTTGTTCTAGTGAAGATCTATAAAAGATCTCTACTGCATTTATTTCATTAAAGTATTAGTTCTAAGATTTCAGTTTAGTTCTTTCTTTTGTTTTTGGAGGTGGTTAAGACAAGGTCTTGCTATGTAGCCCAGGTTGGTCTCAAACTTGCAGCAGTCCTCCTGCCTCAGCCTCCAAAGTGCTGGAATTACAGCCATGTGCCACCATGCCCAGCTGGTTCTTTCTTATAATTTCTATCTTTTTGGTGAACTGCTTAGTCATATCCTACATTGTTTTCCTCATTTATTGTACTGTTTATATGTATGCTCTTCCATCCCTTATTTTAAATTCTTTTTCTTGCATCTCATACATTTCCTTCAAATTGAGGTCTCTCTCAAAAATTATTATTCTCCTTTAGAGGTGTCAGATTTCCCTCCATGTTTCTTTTGTCCTTACTTTGACGTCTGTCAATATAGTGTAACATTTGGGAATTTTTTGTCAAATTTTTCAAAACAGCATTTGTAGAAAAAGTTCTTTTCATTTAAATGAAATATTCTCTCCATGTGATTTCTTCATCTTTAATGTCAGCATTGTCTCAGTGCCTCAACAGTGTAGACTGCAGCAGTTAAGGAAGTAAGTGCATCACTCTGCAAGGCATAGAGCCTTACAAAAAAGTTCTCAGGCTCCACCGATGGGATTGGGGCTTGTGGCAACTGCAGAGCGAGGAATTCTGGCCCTGGGTCCTTCAGGACAAGTACAGTGATGTCAAGGAACCAGCGGCCGTGGTTCCTGAGCCACAGGGTGTGAAGGAGACCTTCCTCTCAACTCTTACAAAGAACGTAGGGCGTGCCTGGGCCCAAGGCACCAGTAGCTGCAGCTCTGACCCCACAGGATGGAATAGGACCTTCCCCAGGTCCCACTGTATGAGCACAGGCAATGCTGGCATGTGTAGCACTGGGAATCATGGACTCTAGGTTTCAGAACACAGAGGGGAGTTTCCCATGGGCCTGATATAGTTGGTGCTGGAGCTTGTAGCGCTATTGTTGAAATTAACCAACGCCCTCAGTGAATTCTGAGCAGGTAGTCTTGACCTCAGGGGCTAGCCAGCTTTGAGCTCATCCTTTACCACCCTTCTCTCCAGATCCCCTTCCTAGGAGCTGGGATTAAGATCCATGAGAAAAGGGTATCTGACAACCTGCGGCCTTTCCACGACCGGATGGAGGAATGTTTCAAGAACCTGAAAGTGAAAGTAGAGAAGGAATATGGTGTCCGAGAAATGGTAGGGGTTTCCCTGTGTCTGGGAGGGGGACAGGGAAGGACAATGGGAATCACATCCAAAAGGGGACCACCAAAGGAACCTTTCCTCCAGAAGAAACTTCTGTAAACTTGGTCCCTAAAAAGTCACCTCCAAATAAGTAGTAATTACAAATTGGGGCTGTGTAAATACCATTAATGGAACTGAATAATTTTAAGTGCTACATTAATAAAGCATCTACTGTGTGCCAGCCCTGATCTAAATAAGCACCTCACATCTACCAGGTCATTTACTCTTCATAATATGCATGGCACATAGGAATTATTTTTAATCCTTTGTCTCTCCTGAGGTTCAGAGGTGTCAGATAACTTGCCAAAGTCTGAATGCAAGTGAGTGAAGGGAAAAATTGTCACCTGGCTCTATTGACTCTAAAGTCACTGCTTTTGGCCAATAAGCTGCTTGGCCTAACAAAGCCTTTGGCCTGGTATAGTGATATCTTCATCATCTTGCTCATAAAGTAGAACCATCAAGTGTATAGTCCTGTAAAGACCATCTGCTTCAACCCTCTTATTTTACAGAGACCCAAAAAAGGGGAAAGGAACTATTGGAGGAGCCTAGAAGGGTCCTCTGGCCTCGTGTTGCTACCTTGAGTTTTTTTCTGAGATAGGTCCCCTTTTCAACATTTCCTATGTGAAATTCCTGAAATGCAGTTCTGATGCTAAATACTTGGATTTAGGTCAATTTTCTCAGGTTATAAGCAGTCCTCCACAAGACTCCTCTACTTTAGATACCAGCTCTGAATTTCAGGGTTCCCAAGCTATCCACACTTCTGCCTAATTCACTACAAATTTGAGGATTCTTAAAACCCCATCACATGTAATAAATCACTAGAAAAACTCACCAAACTCAAGAAAGTGCTATACAAATAATCCCCAATTTATGATGGTTTGACTTAAGTTTTTCACCTTCTACGATGCTGTGAAACTACAGGGTAAACAGCCAGTGTTCTATCATCTCTCCTGTGTTGCTAGGATGTTCTGTAGGTTAGGTGTATTAAGTGCCTTTCTTACTTAAAATGTTTTCAGCTTATGATGGGTTTATCAAGGTGCATCCCCATCAGAAGTTGAGCATCTGTACTGATGATTTCAGGTTAGGATACAAAGCAGGATGAGCCTGATGGGCAGATGCATGGGGAAGGTCCAAGAGAGGCCCAAACTTACAGCTTCAGTGTCCTCAGGATGAACCCCCCCGACACACACTGATGTATAGAAGAAGCTCATCTGAACTTAATTATCCAGAGTTTTTGTATGGGCTTCATTATGTAGTTATGATTGCTGAATTACTGGCCACCTATTTGAGATACAAGGCCAGTCCTTATACCCTCACTACAGTTGAGCTAATATTACATGGCTCAAAGCCTTAGCCCTGTAATGACTTGGCTCATCTTTTTGGTATCACTAGTCTCTATCCCAAGCCATCTTATTAGCATAAAGTACATCCATGAGGCCACCAAGAATGACAGACACTATTCCATTGGAAATTTTGAGAATTTAAAGATCAGCTCCCAGGAACCAGGGAGAAAGGCCAGACAGGAACCTTTGTGTGCTGATGACCAGCTCAGCCCTACAATTGCATCCTGCCTGAGGGCAGAGGCAGGCGCAGGAGGAAGGCTGAAACCACATGGACTCAGCTCTGGCTATTAACCATCCTCTTCTCCCACTGGCAGCCCGACTTTGATGACAGGAGAGTTGGCCGGCCCAGGTCCATGCTGCGCTCCTACAGGCAGATGTCCATCATCTCTCTGGCTTCCATGAATTCTGACTGCAGCACTCCAAGCAAGGCTACCTCTGACAAGTCAGTCCTTGCCCCCAGCCAGCCCCTGCACCCACATCCCTTCTCCTCGGCAGCCTCTTTCCTCCCTGCCTCTTTTACTTTAGAAGTTTGTCCATCGGGTGGTACATGAATTTTCCAGGGCTAGTATTAGTTTTACATGGCCACTGGTGACTTCAAAGGTAATGTGGCTTCTCCTAAAGTAAGGACTCACCCCAGCCTCATCCTTCCAGTCTACTGACTGGGCAAGCAGCCAGAGCGCCTCGTTAGGCCTATTGTCACCTGTGATGACAGGGGTCCTGCCCCTACCCAGGATGAAATCATCCCATCTCAGAGCACCTCCTCCTCCTCCTCACCTGCACCTCTGTTGGCTTCCTCCTCCATTCCACAATCCCAAAGCCTTTGGCTCTTCCCTGCATGCCTCAACTATTTTAATAACAGAGTCTATGTGCCCAGACCTCCTCTGATGGCCATACCTTCAGGTTCTGCGTCTGTATACCCCTTTTCCTGAAAAGGAAATGGTAACTTGGGGAAGTTGAATTTACTTAAAGTCATTTGAGTAAGAGTTAGTGTCTGAATTTGAATCCAGATTCCTATTTTTAAGCAGTTTTGTCTCCTTACAGTCTTGCTTTTAAAATGGGTTAGTGCCTTTGATCATATTACATATTACCTTGTATTTGCATATTTGTAAATGAAGTAGGTGGTTCCCTAAATTCTCTCCTAGGTCAGATAATCTGTCCCTGACCCTGAAAGGACAGCTCTATTAACAGAGAGGACCCCTTTGGTCTCCACAAGGCAGTTCCACGGAAGGTCTAATCACAGGTACCACTGTTGTCCCTCTGACCCTTTAGCTTCGACCTGGAACTCATACCACCCAAGACTCCAAAAGCTGAGCAGGAGGAGCCCATTTCCCCAGGAAGCACCCTGCCTGAGGTCAAGCTGCGGCGGTCTAAGAAGAGGACAAAGAGAAGCAGTGTGGTATTTGCAGATGAGAAAGCTGCCGGGGATTCAGACTTGAAGCGGGTAAGTGGCCAAGGCAGGTGCCCAGCCAACACAGCTGACAAAACTCTTGTGCAGGCAGGACTTCCAGGGAGGTGAGGCATGGACTCATGCCCATGGAACAGTGGGTGCCATGGAAGGGGACACAGGCAAATGGGGTGGCTAGATGAAAAAGGGATGACAATTGAGCCCAGGCCGTTCATTACAGAGCTCACGTGGGTCCCTTGGAAGGCTGGGGAGAGCAACCCACCTGGCTAGATGTTCCTATGTCTCTCAGTCCTCTGTCCCTGGCCCATTCCAACCACTACCATCTCAGACTCTATTGAAGTCTTTCTGGTTGCTGGAGGCCTAGGTGGGGATGCAGGGATGAAAATGCCACTACTCTTTGAGTGTTTTGGTGTTACAAATTAATAACCAATAATGAGAGTTGGTATCAGGCAGCCCCCAGTTCAATCTTAGCTTCCCCCAAGAAAAAGGGTTTGCTTCTTGTATGTTGAGGACCTGGGAGGGACCAAGGGGATTAGCCATTCTAGAAAGGGTCCTCCACAAACTTCCTGATGGGCCTCAGCATTTACTTTTGCCCAGAGGAAAAATGGTGGAAATGGCTTGTGTTTCATAATTTTAGGAGGCACCATTCGTGTGATAGTCTCAGTGCCCTCCCCAACAACATTTTCTGGGGTTATATAACATGCAGCAACCAGGCATGGAAGACTTGCATGGAAAGGGTATAAACCAGAATAGAGTCACATTCACAGAAATAATGCTAAGCCTCTGTGGTGTGTGTGTGTGTGTGTGTGGTGTTTTCATTCAGCTCTCTAGGAAGCATGAGTTCATGAGTGACACCAACCTCTCGGAGCACATGGCCATCCCCCACAGGATGTCCATCCTCTCTCAGATGAGTTTTGCCAGCCAGTCCATGCCCACCATCCCAGGTATGCACCATCACTGCCAGCATTGGCAAGTAAAGGCTACCAGCTTGGTGGGAGGAGAGATGGGACAGTCTGTACATGGTGCGGTGGGCCTGACATCCTGGGAGCGGGGAGAGGCTCGCTCCCAGCCCTGTCCTCTGCTGTCTACCACATCCACCCCTCCTCTTGTAAAGCCATCCCAGAAAGTTCTGCCCAGGGCTGGGATAGAGGTCTGAGTCCTCAAGCCCTCAGCATCCAGTAGGGATCCCTATATTTTGCAAGACTCACAGCTCCTTTTTGGACCTGGAATTCTATTTCTGTATTTCTAGACCTTGCCACCCGTCTTATAGCTGCAGAGGGTTTGCCCGGATGTTGCCTGTCTTCCTCCCACACTCACAGCCCAGAGAAGATGGTGGAAGCCTCTGATTCACAGTGTGAAGCTGACAGAGACAGTGTGCACCATGGCAAAGATGCCCACTGTGGTCTAAATGCCAACTGGTGCCAGGCCCTGCACTGTCACTCCCTCCTTTTATACCACAGCACATACCTAGAAAGCAGATAATGTTGCTCTCCCCATTTTGTGCACATGGGAAAGTAGGAGGGAAAATGACAATCTGCAGCAGATCCAACTGGAATTCTGTGCTGTCGCTCCCATCCCAATACCAAAACAAATGATCAGCGTGGTGGCTGCTGTTATGGGTCTCTTGGACTCCAAGCTGAGGCTGTGATGATCAGGCAATCCAGTCCTCACCTAAACTGACACCTGGAGGGCGTCAACCTGGGGGTCCCTGAACCCCTGCCTTTGATGAAAAGGTGAAATGCAGGTTGTTTGTTGGTATAGGAAGGTGAATGGAAAATGATCTTATGCTGCCTCCCCATCATGGGCCAGAATGTCCTGTGTTTCCTGAGGAAGCTGAAACCAGAGTAGCAAGGAAGTCGTCCCATCCTCCCTCTGAGAAGTCTTTGGACGGAGGCTTGTCCTGCTGCGGACCAGGAGGCAGGAGCAGGCATTGCAGGACTTGACAAGCCTCCCCTGACCCGAGAGCACAGCTCAAGCAGCCCCCGAGAGCAGCAGGCAGTGGTCCCCACCCTGCACAGAGCGTGTGATCTGTGATTCTGTGCCCCAGTTTTTCTCCTGTGTGCCTCTCCCAGACACCCTTCCTGTCCTGTGGAGGTCGCCTCTCCCCCACCACTCGCTCTCACCGGGGTCTCCACTCTCCTTCCAGCCCTCACTCTCTCTGTGGCAGGTGGGACAGGACTGGACGAAGCCAGCACATCTCCCCGCCTCAGCCAGACCTTCCTTTGCCCCTCAGACAGTGACAAGAAGACGCTAACAAGGAAGAAAGTCAATCAGTTCTTCAAAACCATGGTGAGGACAATAGAGGGTGACTGGAAGGCAGAATGTCAGGAGGAAGGGAAGACCAATGCAGAAACCAAAACTAGGGGGTGTGTGTGGATTGTGTGGTTTATGCATGTACATGTAGCTGCTCTCAGGAGGCATGGCCAGGGGGTCCTGAGGCCTGGCCCCAGCTGAGCACCCTGCAGAATCCCTGTGCCCTCAGAACCAGTAGGTGGTTTATCTCTAACCGAAATTGCCCTTTCATGTACCTGCCCAAGTCCTCCTAGCCAGCTGTCTTTGGAAACTGCACGTTCTCTTTTGGAAAAAGCATTTTCCTATTCTCCTTATCTTACAAAATGCACCAAATTAAAAGTTAGTTTTGAACTACAGACTCTTGAAGTTCCATCCCCTGTTGTTGCTTGTCAGTGTTTGCTCAAGATCAAGACGAGACTGTGGCACTTCTGATCCTCGAGGTTATGTTAAATCAGAACTGTGCTACTATAAAAATCACAAGTTTGCTTTAAGCATACAATGAGTCAGGAACCATGCTAAGCATTTCCCAATCATTATCCTGTTTGATCTTAAACTATCTATCCTCTTGAGGATTTTATAAGGTTCATGGAGTTAGCCAATGACATGCACAAGCTCACAGAACTAGCGAGGGGCCAGGAAACAGCAAAGCTCCACTCTAACCACTGCCCAGTACCACCTTTCTAACCAAACTCAAGGTCACGGTAACTCTCACTCCTTGGGCTTTGTGCCAGGTCGGCATAGAGGCCCTGGGAGGCTCTACTCTGACACTCACAAGAATCCCCTCTTGGGGTCCTGTTTCTTTCTTTTCGGCACAGCTGGCCAGCAAATCTCCTGAAGAAAGCAAACAGATCCCAGATTTCCTGTCCACTGACCTGTAAGATGCTGCAGACCAGAACAACATAAGGACTGCCAGGGAAGGGCATTTCCGGAAGGGAAGCATGGCCGCAACGTAAGAGCCTCAAGGAATAGAGAAACTGCCCCCAGAAATTGTCGTCACCTAGAAGAGATAGAGGTGATTGAGTTCTAGAATTGGTGGCATAAAGTATGGCCTCACCTATTGCAGCCTCAGGGTGGTAGATGACCCAGGGGATAAAGAAGCCCCAGCCTGGCTTCTTGGACCGAAGAGGAGCCAGCAAGTTCCTTGCATGCTCTCCCTAGTATCCTAGGCAATCTTTTCAAAATCCAGTTTCTTAGGTACAAGGAGCTGTGTTTTTATTTCATTGTCTAAATCCTAGCACTTAACAGAACAGAAAAGCTTTTAATTATTCTTATTTTTAGTTAACAGTTTTATACTTTACATTTTTTTAATACAACCACCCACCTTCTTTTTTAGCTATCATCTCTAAAGTGTTGCTCTCTCTTACTGACAATAAAAATGGCCTCGTGGCTCAAACAAGCCTTGTTGCCTAATTCTGTTTCCTGAATTTGTTAGCCTAGGAATAGGAAGCCCCCAGGGTGGAAAGCAGGCTAAGGGGCTGGCCTATCCCAATGCTATATTTCCCCACTTCTTTCATGCTACCCCAAGAATCTTCTCTGTGACCTTGGTTTCTTAGGAACCAAAACCTGGGGTCCCAAGACACTGAGACAGTCCCAACTAGAATCTTCCACATGTCATCTAAGCAGTGCAAACTTTCATATCACCTCCCTCTGCTGCTGGAAAGACACAGAAGAAACACCAAGTCTGGTCAGTCTAAGAGATCCCCACCAGGTGATAAAGTATTAGGAAAAAAAAGAGGTGTTGGGTCCATGATAGTTATGGTTTAGTCTGTGGATCTTGTCACCAGGTCAAAAGTGCTGACTGTTTTTGGAGGCTACCCCAAACTTCTCATATGAGACCAAGGTTATCTAAGGAGTCCCATCAAGTGGCAGCAAGAGAGGATGGGAGCAAATCCCACCGCTACACCCTGCAGGGAGCAGAGAGCTGTGCAGGGGAGGAATCTGGGCAGGAGGCTTAGGACTCGATTTGCAAAGGAAATTGACACAAGGTTGGCGGCATGGTGGCACACATCTATAATCCCTGAAGGAGGCAGGGAGGATTACTGTGAGTTACAGGCCAGCCTGGACAATACAGGGAGACCCTATCTCAAAAAACCAAAGAAGGAAAAGAAATTAACGCTGAGTGGATGTCAAGTGCGTGGCACTGTGAGGTACAGAGTAATATAGAGGTCTTGGGTGGATATTCTCAGTGCCTGAATCCCTGTGGCCCACTTGGGGAGGAGAGATGAAAGCAGCTCAGATATGCTAAACCTTGACAGTGTTGTAGACATGATAAGAATTCACTTCCTAAATTTTGATAGCAGCTCTAGGAGGTTGGTACAGTTGTTAACCAGATGAAGAAACTGAGGCACAAAGGCAGGAAGTGGCCTAATTCATGCAGTTAGTAAATCTAAAGGCTTGATCCAAGCCCATTTAGCTGACTGTGAAGCCTGATCCTTCTCCAGTTCCCTACACTATCTCTGGGTCTCAGTGCATAGTGGATCTTGAGTCCTGATGGCCTTTGCACATCCCATTGTTCCCCTGGTGTCCTCTCTGTCACTTCTCCAAGCCTGTTTCCTGGTCCAGTTTCCTGTCTTCTCAACAATTCAAAAGGCCCTGTTATGTTGGTGGTTGGGGCTTTTGCTGAATTAAATGCTCTTGGCTTCCTAAGGTGAGAAGACAGCACCTGGATATTGGAATCCAGCTAAACTCATGGTCTAAATGTCCTACAAAAGCTCATGTGCAGAGGCACCTGGAGGAACTAAGAGGTCAGTGAGCCAGGAAAACTTCATGACTTCGTATGTGTAGACACCAGAGCACCATGTGCCCTTCGTCCTGTCTGCCCATCCTTTCCTTCCTTTTTCCTAAATTTGAGCTCTTCACATGTGTTTTGTCAGCGCAAACTAATGAAGTCCCTGTGTATAACCTTAAAATGTAATGCTTTGCAACCACCAGTGGGAAAAACATACCAGGAAAATAAAATAGCTTCCCCCTTTCCCCACAATCTAGAAAAACAATTACAATCATGTGCCTTGGGCCTGCAGATAGTATTTCTCAATAATAAGCCAAGGAGGCTTATGAAATTCCCTGATTCAGAGACTGGATATGTTGAGGGAAAACAAAATTTTTACCTCTCAAACTTGTAATTCCAATCCACCTTTTCCCTCAACAACAGGCAGCTCTGGTAATAACATTCCTGTGTGCTGTTTTCTGAGAATGATCAGTATCTATGAGGTTTTTTGACTAGGTCTGTAGGGGACAATTGCAACTTGCCTCTTTTTCCATAGGCAAATGGAGCCAAAAATGAAATTTTCAGATTATTAGCAGTATGAGAGTCCAAATGCAGTTCATTTGGGACTGCAGTCAGGTGTAGAGTCCACCTGGCCCTTTGCCACAATTCCAGACACTTCAGCTATGTAGCAATGAGGTTTCTGTAGCACCAGTAGCAACAACAATAACCAACAACAATAACAGCAACAGTATAGGTGCCATTTTCCAGGCACTGACTCTAGACACCCTTTCCTCAAATCCACACGCCAACCCTATGAGTAGGTATGAGGACACCAATCACACTGGTAAGAAAACCCAAAGTCTTGGCCAATTTTATGTTACTGGACTAATGCCTGAGACTGGGAAATTTATTTTTTTAAATATTTCTTACAGTTCTGGAGGCTGGGAAGTCCAAGAGCCTGGAGCAGCAACTGCTCAGCACCATGTGAGGACTTTCTTGCTGCATCATCAAGCAGCAGAGGGCATCACATGGGGAGATAGAACAAGCTTGTTAACTTGGGTCTCCCTTCACTGAGATCATTATGAGCGCTGTACCCTCGTGACCATCTAATCCTAATTACTTCTCACAGACCCCACCTCCAGATGTCTCTGCCCAGCGGCTTGAACCACCGATGGTGTATGCACGTCTGTACCACATGTACCACCAGTGCCACAAGCTGCTCAGTGGGATGGCATGCATGTCCCACCAGTGGTACAAGCTGGTGGGAATGTGATAATATATGAATTTGGGAGTTAAATTTCTAACACATGAACTTTGGGGAGACATACTGAAACCTCAGCATCCAGGGTTGGGAAATCTGTAATGTGCTCTTGGCACCCAGCTAGGAAGGGGCACAGCCACTCCTGTTTATCCACATAGTCACTTCCTGCCTTTGACTTCACCTCAGTAGCAGAGTGTACTATCATAGTCTGTGCTTATGTCTTCTCCATGGCACTCATGATGGCACGTGAAGGTGGGGAGAGGTGTTTGGCACAGCCTACCTTATGACAATGGATGCCCCTCATTATAAACTAGGTCTGTCCCAAGCCAGCTAACAATGTCAAGCACAGTATGCGCCTTTAGAACTCCCACAGGGAGGGAATGCTGGCTAGCAGGTAAGGAATAAGGGGGGTGGGAAGCTAACTTTATGGGTCTCTTTCTTTTCTTTTCTGGAAGCCTTAGAGATCATTTCCTCAGCCCCCCCCCACCCTCTTTACAGTTAAGTGACCTGTGCAGGACCACACAGCTGTGGCCAGCAAGACCTGGCCTGAAACTGACTCTAAACCTTCCATGTCATTCATATATATATATATATATGGTTCATGAATAATTGTAAGCAATTTGGTTTGTAAATAGAATCATTTGGCAAAATGATGTTTTTGTCTGCAAATTCTGCATCAAGGTAACAAACACAACCATAGCCATCTTTCCCAAACACAAATGCGGCCATCTTTTCTAATACTGTAGAACAAATTAAGTTCATGAACTAAACTATATATTTATTTCTCCTCTCCCAAGAGGGAGTGGCTGTGCCTAATCATCACCTTTTCATGCTGACTACCAGTTATGACTACTAGTCACCAAGAAGATTTATGAAACAAACTATAGTAGTGACTGCAACTGGGACAAGACTACGATGTGTCTGTGTCATTTCCTTCCTCAACCACCCACTAAGTTTCCCTGATGGACACCTAGAAGACCATCTGGTCTGGGTTGTTTGCCTGGTGGGGTGACCAACTTCTCATCCTAAAGGGTCTGAGCCCGTAGTTGTTCTCCCTGTATTGGTTTCTGATTGTTTTAATTGCTTATTAGTGGGCACGAAAGTACCCAGAAATGGCCCAATGGGCCACTGCATCTGCATATGCTTCTCCCTGCCACCACTGTATCACAACAACCTCAGTCCTTATGTGATCTGGGTCAGTCACCCAGCCTGTGCATATCCATGAGCCCGAGCAGCTGAAGTGGCCAGGGGTAGTCACAGTTTTGCCTGAGTGGGGGCTTTACTTTGTCCAGTGGCGGGGATGTCTCCTTTGTCCCTACATTTCAACCATGTTTGCAATACTGAAGATTGAACCCTACCCTTTTCCTCTTTTATTTTTTTTTTTCACTAAGTCTATAAGTTACACAGACTGGGCTTGAACTTGAGATCCTCCTGCCTCAGCCTCCCAGTTTACAGGCATGTGCCACATGGCCAGATGTGTAGGCTGATTTGTGCCCCAGCAAAATGTTGAAATCATAACACCCACTACCTCAAGAAGTAGTCTTTTGAAGTTAGCCTCTTTAAAGAGGTAATGAAGTTAAAACTGAAGCCATTAGGATGATCGTAATCTAAAATGAATGGTGTTGCTTAGAAAGAAAAAATTAGAAAAAGACCCAGGGAGAAGTCACATGAACATAGACCAAGCTGCCATCTCTACAAGTCACAAACACCAAAGATTGCCAGAAATCCAATAAGGCTAGGAGAAGGCCATGGAACAGATTCTTTCTCATAGCCCTTAGAAGAAAGCAACCCTGCTGAAACCATGATCTCAGATTTCCAGCCTCCAGAACTGTGAGGCAACGAATTTGTTTTTTAATACATCCAGTTCATTTGACTTGTCACTGCAACTCTAGCAAACTAATACAGACTAGGACTTTGAATCTGAAAAACCCAAGATTTTAGAGATAGAAGATGTGCATAATAATTGAGAATGTGAAATAGGAAGAAAAGGGCTAAAGGTGTAGGAGAAGTGGGAAGGGTAATAAGGGAAAAGAAAAAAAAAGCATGAGAAAATGAAAAAATGGAAATAAAGTATCTGTAAATAGGAAGGGAGGAGGGGGTCATGGGAGAGCATGGGTAAGGGGAAGAAATGAGAACCAAGACCTGTCATGTAGAGGTACAAGATCCCATTGATGAATGTAACTACTATATACCTAAAGTGTACCATAAACTCAATGAGAAAAAAAAAAGATGTGAATGAGTCTTGCGGCAAGATAGTAGTTCTTCTACTCCCACCACTTGAGAACCGTTGGAGGCACAGTATCATCTATTTCCCATTGCTCAACATGTTTACTGCAGTCTGGAGAGGT